TTCTTATTGCTACTCACTTATTCAATACCTAAGGGTCACAATTGTTTGTTAAAATTCGGACCGCTGTCAATAACTACAGTTAACAGCGCGGATAAAACAACTGGGTTTTTCCAAATCTTATAATTTGCAATGAACAATATCTATGTGGCTTTCCCATGTGAGTTTGTGATCGATTGTTAGACCTAAAAACTTCTCCTCCCTTACCTGGGGCTCGATTCTCGAGTTCATTGGAAAATTTTCCCATGGGAAAAGATTCCACTACTTATATTCCCATGGTAATAGGTTATGCAATTCTCGAACTTGTCGGAATAGACATTCCCATGGAAATAATAGTTTCACGTATGTCTGATATTAAGTTCACGAATATTTCGAAATAACCAATAACATTAAAGATATTTTAAAATTTACTGTTGGCATTATTTGTATTTGTTGTGGTTTTTGGGTAACCGATTACCTGCCGAGCCTCTGCGCTGGAGTAGATGCCGTGCCGAGCAATCGCTCGCATGACAGAGGACAAGTGAAAATATTCGATTATGTATAATTAAAACTTATCGAGTTATGTTTAGTTTTTCTTTTCACATGTTGAAAAAAGAAAAAGTAGCTTTTGTATGGAAGAGCAACGAAAGTTTCGAGAAACTAAGAAATTCTTTCGTTAACGGAAATAATAAAATCTTCGAAAAGGTCTTATTAAATTTACTACAAATTTCTCAATTTGTGTTACCTATTTGCCAGTCCCTTAGCAGCTCCCACAATTTCTAACTAATTTAAGAATATCAGTTTCTTAGTGAAAGAGGTAAAAATAATATACACACATAAATAAAATAATATCAATCTATAAATACACCAAAAAAATGTTTTAACTACAATTTCACCAAAAATCCAAGATATCCAATAATCTTTGGTTATGTCTTAGTCTTTCGCGTAGTCTTTCGTCAAATTTTCGACTTTAATGCGCAAACTCTAGTACAATTCCCATTGGAAAACACAATTTCCAATGCTCGTAAGCTGGGGAATATTTTCCCATACTTCTCATTGGAAAATATTCCACCGCTTGTGCCGAGAATACGAAAACTGAATTCCCATGGGAAAATTTTATTTTCCCATGGGAATAAAAGTCGAGAATCGACCCCTTGGTGTACAGATTTATGTTTAATTTTTATTAATTGACTGTCGTCGAGGCTTGAATACAGAAACTGTATCAGACAGATTGTTTTCAGCAATAAGTTGTGATTAGTGTCATCAGCATAACCAACGGTAGTTACTCTAGATGTTGGACAAGAGTATTCTAAGTAGCTCATAAACAAGATGAAAAATGTGGGGATGAAATTGAGCCCTGGGGAACCCCTTCTGTTATTAGCCCGGGAGCGGATTTAGCATCTTCTATAGCTACAATCTAAAATCTTCCCCGCATATAGGGTGCAGCCCAGTCATTTGTGACACCTCGAACGCCTATGCGATACAGCTTTTCTAAGAGAAGATCACGATCTACAGTGTCAAATCCTCTACTAAGATCAATATGAAGAGCTACTGGATATTTTTTATCATTTAGGTGATTATTGACATTATTGTAGAATTCACTTATTGCAGTTTCTGTTGACCTTTTTTGTCTAAAGCCATGTTGCCAATTGAGTATTAGTCCTTTCTGTTCTAAAAAGTTGGTTAACCTCATAACGTAGCTATAGTCTATGATTTTAGCAAATTGGGACTGTAGACTAATTATTCTGTAGTTGCTTACCTTTATTCTTAAATATGGGTATTGACTTTGATATTTTCAGTACATTTGGATAGATGCCCATACTAAAAGACTTATTAATTATGTGTGAAAGTGGATATGATATAATGTCACTTACTGTTTTTAGAGCTTTCCCATGAACTCCATCATTCCCTGGTGTTGTTCTTTTTAGTTGTTTTAGATATGATTTCATCTATCTCATAAGGCGTGATTGGAGTAAGAAAGAAAGTGAAAATAAATTTATTAAAACAATATATATAATACAAATACAACATTTAAAATGTAATGTGTATGAAAACTGTATTATGTATGAAGTAGCTGGATGGCTGGTACATATTTCAGGATACAACACTGCCCCTCATTTTGTGAAGAATTTTATCTGTGAAACAGGAAAGACAGTATAAGTACTTTCCGTATCTTCTACAATACAGCTTTGCAACCCCAAACGTCATGAAACAGAAAATACATAGTATAAAATAAATGAATCAAATACTAACTTTCCTTCTCGAAATGAAGTCCAACATATATGATTAAGCTGCTTCATAGTCCAGGAAGGTCACAACTGTTTTGCACTGAAAAAAAAAAAAGAATCTTGAAACGAACACTATACTCTATTACTACTATTACTACCACCACCACCACCACTAATTTTTTGGGGTTTTGTTTTTTTGTTTTTTTGTTTTTTTTTTGTTTTGTTTTTTTTTTTGATTTTTTTTTTTGTTAGTACTTTTACTTCTAATTATTTTACTTCTAATATTAATTGAAACTATTCAAGTAGAAGAAATAATACACATCTATGTCGTTCAATATATATTGAAAAACTAACAATTACCATTTGGACGTTAGACGGAGAAAGGAAAACCACTCTCCTTTTCTCCGTTCAACCACGCCCTTTCGATGGCTAGGGTAGAATGTTGCATGTATATTGTAGTCCGTCAATTATTTTATTTCTCTCTAATCAATGCTATTATGTTTCTTTACCGTTCTACTATTCTAAAGAAAACTAAGTTACCGTATTGTATATTCATACATTTTAAGTGTTTAATTTAATGGTTGTATATATTTAGAACGATAAACAGTAATAAAATCTAGTAAGTCACAGCAATGAAATCTTACAATGCCCTATAAAGTTTTATATAAATAAGAAAAAGCGTATTTTATTTTCACAAAAAATTCTTAGTAAGAAGTTCTGCCTCACTTGGAACTCTCTAACAAAGATGAAGTGGTAAAATTTAAAAATTTCCAATAAATTCTTTGGTTTTGGATTAACGGTTGTACAAAGAAAATCGAAATCACCTAAAAACAAGTTGTTCCGTATTTTCAAAAGATTTTCCACTTATTGCATGATCAATGCTACATGCCAATACTTACCTCCGGCAATGGTGTTCCCAAGAACTCATTTTAAAGACCACATGATTTGGGGGGCCAGGTTTGGTATATTTGGGCTTGCTACTCCTAGTGGATGGATGAATGCCGATTTATTCGTACAGGTTATAAATCATTTCATTAAATACTCTAACAGCTTCAAAGAAAATCCATCACTTCTTATTTATAATAATCATGAAAGCCACCTAAGTATTGCTGCACTCAACTTAGCCAAAGCTAATGGAATAACAATTTTGACAATTCCACTACATTCCTCAAATAAAATTCAGCCATTGGATGTTGGTATTTTTAAAGCCTTTTCAACAGCATATAATGCAGCGGTTGACAGCTGGATGATGCAGCATCCAGGAAAACCGTTTTCTATATATGAAGTAGCTGCATGCGTTGGTTTTGCTCATGAAAAAAGAGTTACCCCAAGTAATATTACAAATGCCTTTAAGAAATGTGGAATATATCCCTTCGATGGAGCAGGTATATACTGATATTGATTTTATGCCAAGCTCTGTTACGGAAAATATTGATACTGAAATCAATATTCCCAACACCTCTGTATCAGACGACGTTGATACTCGGTCAAAGGAAACGGAAAATAATGAAATTGAAAATAATTCCAGTAAACTCATTCCAAGCACAGAATTGTAAAAGGATGTCGATACCCAGAAAAATACAGTAGTTATAGAAGTGGAGGTGAAAAATAATTTAAAAAGCCCTGAGCAGTTTAGAGGTTACCCCAAAGTAGAAGCTCGTAAGACTAGTAATACACGAAAAAGGGGGAGAAGCCTCATAGCTACGGATACTCCTGAAAAGGAAGCAATCGAAGAAAAGAGCTTAGCAAGAGCGAATAAAAGAATAAGAAAGATAAAGTAAAGAGATTAAAGAAGTGAAGAAACAAGTGTTTGGCGATAAATCTAACAAGTTGGAAGATAAAACTAAGTACATAAGGACTAAAAAATTGGAAAACTACGTATCTTCTGATGAATCTGAAATTTTGGAAGAAGAACCAATATTAGATTCATCATCAGCAGATGAGCTTTTTGAAGGAATCAACTCAGATGATTTTCAAGATCTACACAGAATTCCGAAATAAAATGATTTTGTACTAGTTGAATTTGCCGTAAAACCGGAGACAAGAAAGATATATTTCATTGGAAAGGTTCTTAAAACAATTAAGTTCAATCAAGAATATAAAGTCGCATTCTTAAGGAACCAACAGAAGGGAATCAATAAGTTAATTTTTCCTGATGTTGCTGATGAGTCTGTGGTTAATATAACAGATATTAAATTTATTATGCCACCACCAACTCCTTGTGGACAAACCAGTCGTTAGAACGCTTTTTTTACTTTGGAAATTGATTTTAGATTAGTAAATATAAGATGGAACTTTAGTTTTTTTGTTCTTTTGTTAATGCTAAATTGTGCCTTAATAACAAATAAATGTTTGTTTACAGATTGCATTAAAAAGTTTTATTTCATGGAGAAATTATTATTATTATTACCTATTATTATTTTTCAATAGTACAATGTTTCCTTTGAGTATAGTGCAAAATACCCACTGTCTCACTGTTGGACAAGAGCTGTCTCACTGATGGGCACTGTGGACCAACAGTGAGACAGATACAGCTGTCAACATTTATGCAAATGAAAAATTAGCCTGTTCTGTATAATTGAAAATTAAGTCAAAAACATGTAAATAAAGCACACAGCTATGTGTTCGTTTCAAAAAGATTATTTATTCTCAATAAATAAGGATGCTACATCAATTATAAAAAAAAAGTCTCACTGTTGGGCACTCTCCCCTAAATGTTCATAATATCTGAACAATCTTTCTTAAAAATTCCTCTATGTAAAGACAAGTTTCCGAAGCAACCTCGTATCGCTGCGACTTCATCTCAACTACATTACATATGGGGTTAAAGTAAGATTGAAGTCACTTTCTTTGAGAGTTCCATATTCGAAGACGTGCTTGGTTAGTGCTTGGTTATCGACGATCAATTCTCGAGGACACTTCGAGATATGATGAAATATCTCTTTATTAGCTTGTTTGCAGGTGAGTGCTGTTTTCCGATTTTCTTTAAAAATTTCAATATCAGTACGTAAGTCTTTGAACTTTTTTGTTTTTCTGTCAGAAATAAATAAGTAGGTCAATGAAATGTTTTCTTAAATTTTTGTATAACAAAATTTAATATTCGTTATGATATATTTGATTTATTTATGACATTTTGTTAGCTCAGTGTTCTAAATAATTAAAATAAACCAAAAAAAATTGGCTTATGTATATGTATGTTTTTTATAAATTACATCTGTGATAATTTAGTAACTTCATAAAGACTGAAATGTTGATTAGTAGAAAATGTGAAGTAGATTATTGACCATTATAGACTATTAATTTCTCTTTGACTGTATTCCTGTTTAATTTTATAATTCTGTCACATCGAACAATAAATTAATGAAATAATTAATAAATTATGCATAGAAATTTTCGAATTTAATTATATGTTAATTATTAAACACTAGCCGATTATATAACCCATAATTTAAACAATATTATTTTCTAATTTCACATATCTATACGTATTAAAAATAAATTATTCCATAAATTCAATAAATTGAATAAATTTCTCTTGTTTAAGTCGTTTACGCACAAACTAGATGCCCGCAAGGTACAGGCAAAGGTACAGGATTCTTTCCTGACCCAGATCAATGTGATATTTACTACGTTTGTGCCAAAGGACAATTTGAGGAAAGACTATGTCCTGATGGTCTAGTTTTCGATGACCGGGATCCTAATTTTGAAAGATGCGAGGTACCGGCTAATGTAGATTGTGGAGACCGTCTAGCATTACGTAAGTTTATTATACATTTTTATTATTCAATAATAGTTGGAAATTCCTGTTATTATACTATACAACAGGATATATAATATGTCCTATTGTTCATAATTATTGTCAACAATAAGACAATACTTTTATGTTTATATTGTTTATTTTTTATTTAAATGATCTTAAATAACAAATGAAAAATAATTTTTCTCCACCCACATGTTCTACGAATAAACTACAAAACGAAAAAGTATGCCATTGCATTCTAGTGAAAGGATATAATTTTATATCTTCTCTAGAAAGGACATTGTACGAATATGAAATCCACCAATCACAGTTTATATTTGGTTTATATATATATTTAATTTTAAATAAGAAACAAGCCTGTCAAACTAATTGTCAGTATATTTTTTAAATGATTCTTTTGGAGAATCCGAGGCTCGAGAGAATCGATAAATATTAGATATTCGTCTATATTTACAAATTAATCATAAATTTTAATAAAACTAACCAAATTAAAAGTATTGAAAGAAGGTCATACATTATTTTAAAATTTTTCAATAACTGAAGAGTGAAAATTATGTGGTTTGACAAAAAAATTATTAATTTTGACACATTGACACTCTATTTGATAAAAAATTTTTCATTCTCTTTAAAATTCTTCTATACAGTATGGTTCAAATGAAAGGAATAAATTCATTATAATGGTAGTAGTTGGTTTTTCGAAAAAATGCTCGGACAGGTCAATTTTGTTTAATTAAAGCGCAATTTTTTAAATAGAATTCAATTTTCCCTCACCTCCCATTTTTGGGCAGTGACGTCATTGACAATTTTTTTAAATAGTAACCCTAATTTTTTTTTCTTGATTTTGATAAATCTGGCAATTTCCTACTCGGAAACATAATATTTGAAATATCTTACATAACAATTTTTTTTGAATAAATGTCATTTAAAGATCAGACATAAATTTTATTTTATTTTGAGAACACAAATGAATAAAAGAAAATTATTTGTAATTAATAGCTTAATCTAACAAAATAATAATAATAATAATAAAGAATTTGTGAAATTGTCATTAAATTCTTTATTATTAGTATTATTTTTTAGATTAAGCACTTGTGTTCTCAAAATAAAATAAAATTTATGTGTTTGATCTTTAAATGACTTTTATTAAAAAAAAATTGTTATGTAAGATATTTCAAATATTATGTTTCCGAGTAGGAAATTGCAAGATCTATCAAAATCAAGAAAAAAAATTGGGGTTACTATTTAAAAAAATTGTCAATGACGTCACTGCCCAAAAATGGGAGGTGGGGGAAAATTGAATTCTATTTAAAAAATTGCGCTTTAAGTAAACAAAATTGACCTGATCGAGCATTTTTTCGAAAAATCAACTACTTCCATTGTAATGAATTTATTCCTTTCATTTGAACCATACTGTATATTCAAAGAGACTCAAGTTTTCTTATCAATACATTGTTATTAGCCTTATGAAATGCTTTTGAACAATCTGTGTGTGCAATTTCTTTTCATATTTATTTAAAATATGATTTTGAAAATATAAAAGATTTATTGATTTTAGTTTACCCAATGAAACACTAGGCTAATTATACAAAAAAAAAAAATATCAAATTACGTTGTAATTTCAGAACAAATTGGAACTCTACGGTAATTTGATATTTTTTTTCTCTCCTCCAACTTATGACTAGGAGTTATTAAACTATTCTTCCAAAAGCTTGGAAAAGTTTTTAAAGATAGGTTCTACAACAACTACATACGTTGTGAGAGAGTAAAACAAATTTTTTCAGAAAAATGTTTAGCACAAATAAAATCATAAAATCAAATCTTCGTGTTCATAATTTTTTCTTACTAACTTCTAAATTAATTTTTAAAAGTTTGTGATTTTGCTTAGTAAGTAGCAGAAAAAATATACTGTAAAACTCGAGTGAATCATCCGTAGCCACTTCTGTTGCACAAATTATTATGCTCGCATTTTTTACAGTGATCGTTTAACGTTTTTATTTTAATTTAAGAGGAAGCTAAATCCAGTCCTGGTTGCCCAAGAGCCAATGGATTTTACCGGCATCCGAAAGACTGTACAAAATTCCACAACTGTGTGGACGGAAAGCCCAAGGAACTCAATTGCCCAGCAGGTGAGTACATATAATTTACGTGAATTATCAGACAAATATTACATTAAAAACATCCTTAGGTAGCAAATAAATTAGATATCAAGCTGATGTACCAGCATTCATAGAATTTAATTGCAATAATTTAATTAATTTTATATTATACGATTTTCACGATTTCTTTGACGATGTTATCGGTCGTTCTGGTTTAGTAAATATGAATTTAAATATAGATTTGGTAGTATAAATTAGGTAGAACATATTATTTCAGTACTGTAGACCTTACTAACGGATTTCACTAAACATAAATGAGTAAATGCTCAAAAGAAACAAACTAATCAACATTTTTACACAGATATTGGATATTTAAAAAATCACGAACCATTTAATTATTTCAGGTAGTCTTTATCAAAATCTCTTGGTTTATTGTATGTACGGTATTAAAAAGTAATGATCTTTATTGGGAATGGTCTATTTTGTAATTACAGGTCCGGATTTAGCTTATTATAAATTTTAAACTAATGATTATTTTTAGGCTCGAAACGTTTTAAAATGATAAAGTGTGGCACATAGTTGAAAACGGCGTATTTTTTTCTATTGAAATCGGTATAAAAAAACATCAGGTCCTTATTTAAAAGGTTGATGATGGGGCCCAAAAAAACGAAACGTGATACTCAAACACAAATTATGCTATATCATAAAGGAGAAAAAGTTACTACAAAGAAGTGTTTTTATTTTTTCATAACTTCCTCAAACAGCAATATAAAACGAAAAGGAAGAAAATTGTATTTTTTTTTACTTTTCTCAAAATTACTCAGAAACTAGCAAAAATTTAAAAAGTTTGAAGGTGAATCTTAACTAAGAATCAGTTAACGTATAACTTTTCTTATTTAACTCTTTAAGTTACCAAGATTCTAATATATCGAGCAAACATTTTGGACATTCTGTATATTAGGAATAATCATTGATTTTTAACAAAAATAGGTGAAAATTTTCTTAAATCAATTTTAAACCAGAAAAATTTTGGATCTTCCAGTCATGTATAGTTCATATCTTCAGACCCCAAATCTTTAAAGAGTGTTCTTTTTTTACAATTCATTATGATAATTAATCAAAAACGACTATAAAATAATATTGTAATTTTATCCAGGTCTTGTATACGACGAACGCTCCAGTACCTGCGTATGGGCAGCCAACAGTAACCGAAAAGAATGTCTCAACCCCAAAGCAGACGCCCTAGATGACGGTTTCGAATGTCCAGCCGAGGCTGCTTCTCTCAGCGATGCCAATGGTCGAAAAGTACCTCATCCCACCTACGCCCATCCCAGTGATTGTCAGAAGTTCTACATTTGCAGAAACGGCGTCGATCCACAAAGGGGTTCCTGTTCTCCGGGTACCGTCTACAACGATGAGACTGCTAGGTGTGAGGTTCCAGAAAATGTACCTGGATGGTAAGTTTTCGGCATATGCAATGAATTAAATCCATTTATACAGGCTTCTGACCAGTTGAACCATAGAGGGTTCTACTGTCAAAACTTTCCAATTGAGGATTAACTAAATCATTTGTTAATTTCTTTATTTCATACCTGACTCAAAGTAAATTGTTCATAGAATAACGTGGTGTCAAATCATATGAATTTGACGGTTCCTCTGGGGTCCCGCAAGACTCAGTATTGGGGCCACTGATATTTATTATCTTTATTAATGATATTACCTTAACTACTAACTGCTACGCTGTTCTGTATGCAGACGATTTAAAGTTATTTCGTTCAGTGACTAAATTAAAGTTCACAATTGGTGGACAGATAACTTATTTTCACTTTATTTTTGTAAGGGCCAGTCTTTTCACCTCTGAGTAAAGTTGAAAGTAACTATAGTGCTACTGTTCGTTAATCTGTCAATTAAACCTATATATGTAACTTTACTCAGAGGTAAAAAAATTGGCCCTAAATGAGCTGTGTGAATTTCTATGGAAAAAATGTATCGTTACACTAATTGTCAAAGTGCTATATGCCAATCCCCACTCAATAACCATTGGTTTGCTATAGTAAAAATAAAAATAATTATATTCATATTTACACAGATGTTAGTAACACATAAAAATCGGAAAAATTAATTCCTTATATTATACTTTTCCCCAAAAATAGCTTCATAAGAATATTTATACATTTTGTTTTGCTTTTCAGTGAAAATTATTACTCTCTGACATCCAGCAATTCCAAGCCATCTGTACAGACATCAGGGATTCCAACAAGGAAAAATTAAGACTTATTTATTTAAGATTTAGACTTAGTTTTAAAATTTTTAATAATGAATTATAAATAAGTAAATAAACTTTTAAGTCTTAGTAGTTTTAATATGATGTTTATTTGTTATTTAAAAATTATTTTCTTATATACCACGTTGGTAAAACCTATGTACCCTGTATAAACAATAGAAAACAATAGAAAACAATAGAAAACAATAGAAAACAATAGAAAACAATAGAAAACAATAGAAAACAATAGAAAACAATAGAAAACAATAGAAAACAATAGAAAACAATAGAAAACAATAGAAAACAATAGAAAACAATAGAAAACAATAGAAAACAATAGAAAACAATAGAAAACAATAGAAAACAATAGAAAACAATAGAAAACAATAGAAAACAATAGAAAACAATAGAAAACAATAGAAAACAATAGAAAACAATAGAAAACAATAGAAAACAATAGAAAACAATAGAAAACAATAGAAAACAATAGAAAACAATAGAAAACAATAGAAAACAATAGAAAACAATAGAAAACAATAGAAAACAATAGAAAACAATAGAAAACAATAGAAAACAATAGAAAACAATAGAAAACAATAGAAAACAATAGAAAACAATAGAAAACAATAGAAAACAATAGAAAACAATAGAAAACAATAGAAAACAATAGAAAACAATAGAAAACAATAGAAAACAATAGAAAACAATAGAAAACAATAGAAAACAATAGAAAACAATAGAAAACAATAGAAAACAATAGAAAACAATAGAAAACAATAGAAAACAATAGAAAACAATAGAAAACAATAGAAAACAATAGAAAACAATAGAAAACAATAGAAAACAATAGAAAACAATAGAAAACAATAGAAAACAATAGAAAACAATAGAAAACAATAGAAAACAATAGAAAACAATAGAAAACAATAGAAAACAATAGAAAACAATAGAAAACAATAGAAAACAATAGAAAACAATAGAAAACAATAGAAAACAATAGAAAACAATAGAAAACAATAGAAAACAATAGAAAACAATAGAAAACAATAGAAAACAATAGAAAACAATAGAAAACAATAGAAAACAATAGAAAACAATAGAAAACAATAGAAAACAATAGAAAACAATAGAAAACAATAGAAAACAATAGAAAACAATAGAAAACAATAGAAAACAATAGAAAACAATAGAAAACAATAGAAAACAATAGAAAACAATAGAAAACAATAGAAAACAATAGAAAACAATAGAAAACAATAGAAAACAATAGAAAACAATAGAAAACAATAGAAAACAATAGAAAACAATAGAAAACAATAGAAAACAATAGAAAACAATAGAAAACAATAGAAAACAATAGAAAACAATAGAAAACAATAGAAAACAATAGAAAACAATAGAAAACAATAGAAAACAATAGAAAACAATAGAAAACAATAGAAAACAATAGAAAACAATAGAAAACAATAGAAAACAATAGAAAACAATAGAAAACAATAGAAAACAATAGAAAACAATAGAAAACAATAGAAAACAATAGAAAACAATAGAAAACAATAGAAAACAATAGAAAACAATATGAAAAGATATAAGTTAGTTAACAACATTCTATAATGGAATATAACGAAATTGTAATTGGTGCAACATGAGTAGATAATATTATAGCCGCATATCGCATGAGAACGAAATTTGAGGACGACGACGTAGGGAGTGCTCAATTGTCTAAGTGCGATACAGACAATCTAATCGAGTTGTACTTCATATTTATCCTACGACTTACTAACGAAAAGCTACAAATTTTAAAAATTGATTTGGTATTAATAAATGACAAATAATAATAATTTAGGACTTTTACTAATTTACAAAATAAAATAAACCTAAAATAGCTATTTGTGTATTAAGAGTGGAAAGTGCTACTTGCAGTGGAGTGCGGCATTTTATCGTAAGCGGCATATAGCTTTTCGCTCAAATTACTACGTTAATTTGACAGACACGCCTAACTTGAATAGCAAACGAAAAGTACGTTGCGTATATTATGTTGCCTGCTTACTGTAGGATTAATTTTATGATATGTATAAAAAATATTTGTTAATAAGTACATCTTAAAATTAACTTACAAGATCATCGGTTAGAGTACTCAAATCGCAAATTAATGGCCCATACACCGTTTTAAGTTTTATTTAATTTTACAAACAAAAAAATCAAATTTAAAAAAAATAAATAATAACTGGATTGAACTCATGACCATCAGGTTCAAAGACAAACGCGGTAGGCTCTACACCAACAAGATATGTTAAATATGAGTGTTAAAAACAGGGTAATTATCATTTAAATATTAAGAAAAATGAGTTTGAGTAATAAATGTTCAATTAAAAGATTCAGATTAGTCTACATTTTCTTTTAAAATACCGATTAGCTTTATAATAACAACCTTTCTAATGAAATTTTCTAATGAAAATAGGTGTGTGCAAAAAGTGTGTGCTATATGCGGCAATAATGTCAAACTATAAGAATTCATGGAAAACGTCAACTTTCTAGTTAGATTTGAATGTGCAAAAGCCTACTTTGGATAGTGATTGTAGAAAAAAATATTTTATTTATGTCTTCAGTCCTAGATTTAAAATGTACTATTTTTTTGTAAAATGTATACGAATATCTTATGGATTGCCATTATCACTCATTTTTAATTATATTTTTTAAACTCAATAACTAAAAAATATATTGACAATTAGTTTGACAGAAATGTCACTTATTTAAAAATTAAGAAAATAGTAGTAGACTGGTGACCAAATATGAAATGTGCGGTGTTCTTACTCGAATAAAATGGATAATATATTCGTTTATTAGAAAGAAAAGAACTATTTTATCATATGTAGTCTGTACTTAGAATAGATAATATCCATAGGGATGCAGATTTTGTTAAAAATAGCAAATATTTTGACACTTCTGTGATTTGTGCTTATACCGGAAGTAGATGTCAACTTTCCTATTCAAATAAGTATTTTGATTCCGGATATTAAGGTGGTCAAATTTTAGAAAACAATGTATGATTAAAATTGACAATTTATGAAAAAAAATTGTCATTGCAGACATTAAAACAATTTTTATTTTTAACTAAAGTTAGTTAAAATTTGAATATGATGAGTCTTTTAATTAATGGCCAAAAAGAAAAGCAACATTCCAAACTTTTATAAATAACTAGAATATAATAAATATTAGATACGTATGGATGATTATGGGTTATATAAAGCTAGAATATTTCCTGAATATCTAAATAAAACCTTTCAACCAGACGGGCTGGGCACTTAGGGACCTGTGAGATTTTCGATTATAAATCCTTTGGGTTACTTTTTGTGGGATTATTCAAAAAATCTCGTTTATTGTAGCGGTAATCCTCAAAATTAGAACGCCTGTCATGATTGCTCGATCAGAAAGCCAGGTTACTATTTAAAAGACATGGACACATTGAACATGTAATTGCAGCACTTTATTTTATACTACATTTGACAGGAATATCCATCTAGATCAGCAATATAATTATTGTAATTTCTTTAAATAAATAAACCTAATTATTAGCATCTATTCACTCTATAAAATATACACGTTGTCCCTCCTACATCTGTTTCAATTCTATAGTCATAGTCATTAACTGGTGTAAACAGTTAAATACCTAGTTGTAAATATCGACTGCTATTAGAATTATTGTGTAATGACATATTCTAATGATTGAGAATAGTGAAAGTTGCAAAACAATATTTTTTGACTCACGTTGCCACATTTCTGGTAGACAAAATGCTTTAAGTCGCTTAGACAGTGGCGTATCTTTAACTTTAGAAAATAGATAAAAAGTAAAGTGTTGCAGCAGAACACATAATTGTTTACAAGTCTGGGTATTGAAGGTAATTAGGTAAAAATATAATAAAATAAATTGTGAAAATACCTGAAGCAAGTTGAAAAGTTGATATTTTAAGTAGCATAGACTCTCATCAAAAGAAAAGAGGTTATTGAAAAAGAAGAGATGTAACATATTAGTGATGAGAAAAATGATACTAGAATGGAAGTAAAATTTAATCAAAAACAATATCTTTTTTGGGCAGGTAGAGCATGAATAAAATTTATTGAGACTTTGTTATGATAAGTATGTATTTTGTTTTCGAAAGTTTTTTGGGAACACGTGAGATATACCAAATTATGGTATCTAAACTTTCATTCTTTTAATAGCTAACTACTTTTTAAACAATTTTGATGGTTCTACCGTGTGTTTAAACTTTCTTTACTGTTGTTTTTATATAAGAAAAATGTTAATCTTCCTCTCAGTATCCTGATGATGGCTTAATGCCGAAACAGATAGACTAAAAATTTTAATAAAAGAAGAATAAATTTATTAATTTATTCCTCCATGATTTCACACTTATTTCTCTTCTCTTTTCATTCCTAATAACCAGGGTGTACACTATAATTTTCGCAGTAGCTAAATCCTGAAGATGAATGTTCAGTATTATTAATCATCCATCCTGGTACCATACTATATGTAGGCATTATTATTGTGATCATTTTACAACCTTTGAACGGGTATGTCTAATTTGCGAATTGGAATTTGACGGCTGCCAGGTACTAAAGGGAGTATTAGTTATTAGTTAATAATTGGGGCTTTTAATACACATCGCAATATATTTTTTCCAGGTAAGACCAATTTTCCCTCCAATGCCTCCAAAGGGTACTTTGCCCTTTGTCAATTTTTACAGAAGCAGTGCCAGGTAGTATAAAAAACGAGTTGGACTGCTAAAACTTCGTACTCTAATACCTATTAAATATCTTTTTGCCAAGTAAAAGCATTTTTCTCCCTATCGTCTCCAAGGGGTACTTTGCTCACGTCAATTTTGACAAAATCAGAGCCGTTTATTACAAAAAAAGGTAAATTGCTGAAAGTTCGCATACGTAATACCCATTCCAATATATTTTTGCCAGATCAAACCATTTTTCTCCCATTACCTCCAAGCGGTACTTTGTCTTTTTAATTTTAACAATATCAGTGCCAGGTACTAAAAAAACGCTGTAGATTGCTAGAACTTTGCACACGTAATAACCATTGCATTACTG